GTTTCACCACCTACATGTACCAAAGTCTCAAGTGTCTACGCAAACTCAACCCCAAGTAGTTTATACTAGCAGTCAGCACCATCCTAAAAACACTTCTAAGCAAGCGACCGATGCAAATAAGTGTATGATCTCCAAAAAGATGAAAAATCATGAAAAGAGAGCTAAAAAGCCCAAGAATATAAGATACGTTTCCTTCTAAGTTAGGTGCTCCTCACCCGAGCATTTAGCCCAACGGCACGAAAAACTCATTGAAAAATCAATGACATCAAATTATGATCAATGAAGAAGATCAAAAACAGAAATGAGATCATATTCACTAACAGGTCGACTTGCCATGAAAGTGTGCGGACAACGGGCTTAATGTGATTGCGCTAGAACAAACAGGGTGAACTTGCCACGAGAACCTTGACACCAAGATACAGTAGCATGGCTGAGACCGATTTGCATAAAAAGGAGACCTCCGGAGACTCGTAGTCCAGTGTCGTCATGATACCCGTCTTGTTCCTACCAAGAATCCCGGCTTTTCCAAACTCTGCGAACGAAGAAGCAGCCTCGTGCTTGCCGACTTTTCCACGTTTTACTTGAGGACAAGCAAAGATTCAAGCTTAGGGGAGTTTGATAACACGAAATCATATAGATGTTTTTATGCATAATTCGACTAAAAGCTAACCGTTTTCGATCCGATTTCGGGTTATTTCCGTGTATTTGTCTGATGTTTTTGCAGGTATTCAACGATCACGTCTAAACAAGGCAACATGAAGAAAAGAAGCAATCCCAGATGAAATATGGACGAAAAAGGAGTGAAAACACAATGAAAAACGCAGCAGACTGTTTTTGCTGATGTAACGACCGTCACAGATGCATGACGACCGTCACACGGGTGACGACCGTCACACCTTGTGACGACCGTCATGCAGGCAAAAACGCCCCACTCAGATTACACGTCAAAAGAGCAGTTCCAATTCCCATTAAGTGGTCCACTACTCCCTAAATCATCTGCCTCAAGGTCCATCATCCTCAGAGATAACCGTTGGGATTCCACTTCTATAAAAAGGGAAGCAGGGGACTTCAAAAGGGGGCTGCATTCATACCACGAAGTGCTGCCGAATTTAATTTCCAGAGCAAATTTATTTTCCAGTTTTTATTTGTATCCATTTCTCCTTTACATTTCCTCATTCCCATTTCCGCTCTTTTGTAATTGCTATTGCACTGTACGATCAAATTGGCACTAAAGACCAGAATCCTGCCAACATCTGTGGAGGATCTGCCCAAAGGCCAATTGGCATATTTACAGGTTTTCATTTTGATCGACTTCTGTTTTATTATAATGCAATTTATTATTTATCATTCTTATTTATGTTTTGTTTTTCCAAATTCCATGTCTAGCTAAACTTAGGTAATCGATATGTAGTAATAATTCGGATGGGATTTGATAACTCTTGTTTAAAAACTTTCTTTTCACAAAAGTAACCTATGGTCTAAGTGTTTAAAATTGATTCACGAAATAAACTTCGTCGCGAAAGCGAGAACTTATTTAAAAGTAGTTTTGCCACGAAAGTGGGAAATTAATTAAGATACGAACCAACAAGCGAAAGCTGTGGTAAGGTCAGATAGTAAACACTAGGCATTTGTTTTAATAACAGCGAAAGCACTTTAAAACGAATTAGAACTTAGAGATTTCCAAAAAATAATTTTAACCCCGAACGGGATACGAAAGTGTACGTTTGGCCCTTAGGATTACGATTAGCGTCAATAACCATCGTGAGACGAGAGTCTTCAAATCTCCATTTTCTGCTTAAATAAACTGTGAAAACTATTTCATACACCAGTAATTTATCAAATCCCTGAAGAACACAATTACTACGTATCGATTCAATTAATTAAAATCTAAATAGTAATCTTAGTTCCCTCTTTTAGTGACAATCTTATTCCCTTAAAACATATTCTACCTAGCTAAACATAGTAACTCCCGAGAACACTAGTTTGATTACGAGTCCCTGTGGGATCGATATCTTTTATTACTACGCGATAGACTGTGCACTTGCAGTTAGTTATATTAGACATAGAAAGTCGCGATCACAAACGAGCAAGCAAAACAGCAAATATGACATTCTGGCACAGTGTTAATCGGTTAACACCTTAAAAAGTTTGGAAAAAACTGAAGTTTTGAACAGGTTAATCGGTTAACCATATGCGTTAACCGATTAACACTGTTAACGTTTGAAAAATATTTGAAAATTTGAAATGGTTAACCGGTTAACCATATAGGTTAACCGATTAACACTGCACCAGAAGCTAAAAACAGCAGCAGAAAATCACTTCCAGCACATAAACAGCTTATCCAAGGTTCCAACAGATCAACTTATCAATTAAGCACGAAATTAACAACTGAAAACAGAGATCCAACAGCCTACATACACAATTACGCAGCAATATCATAAATCAAACGGATCGAAATCAACAAAATTCAATCGAATATGAAGATTAACATGATAAGCTCAAAAATTAAATCGGATTGAGAATTCCAACCTTCGAAGCGAAGATTTGCTTCGGTAAATGTTGATCAACTAAATTTGAGCCGATCAAATGCTAGAAATCTGAAAACTTCAAGATCCACAATAATTGTTGTTGTATGAATGAAGATCCACCAAATTTGAGTCAAAAAGCTTCAAATAATCACTTCTAGATCCAACTCCAGATTCAGATCCAAGCTTGCACGAAAATTGAAGATGAGAATTGATCCAATGGTGATGGTAAATGGAAGATTATGCTCAAGAATTCATTGATTCCAATAAAGAATCAAAAATTCCAATGAAAAAGAGCTTTGAGTGAGTTTTGGAAATGGAGAAGTTGAGAGAATTAGAGATAGAATTCTGATCAATTCTGAAAAATGGATGTGAAAAATGAAAAATGGATGGTTTGACTTGGAGTAAATCACTTAAATATGACTTAGATTTGGATCCCAAAGCAAGGTTTGGAAATTTGGATTGGAAATCAAGGTTTGGAATGTGGAATGAGTTTTTGGAGGGAAATCTAAAATTTAAAGATGTTCTAGATCCTTCCCAAGTGCAAATTTGAATTCCAAAGTGATCAAAATTGGACCCCAAGTGCAATTGGCTTGCAAAATCACGTACAGGGTAAAATCTGCTATGGTTAACCGATTAACCATATACTTTAATTGGTTAATACTGTTAAAATTCCAAACCTGGGATGATTCTCCTTTGGTTAATCGATTAACCATATAGGTTAACCGATTAACACCTTCAAATTTTGCATTTTGGCGCCTTTTGGTGGGAAATCTGTCCATTTGTCCTGTTTCAACTGTCTGGAGCTCTGTTTAGCGGCTGAACCTCATTCTTGAACGTCATCACTGTGAAAATCTTGATATGAGCCTGAGTGCTGCTTTCTGAACTGTTGTTCTCCTGCAAAATAAAAATCGGCCACTCGATTGCTGGGCAAAATAAATGCCCGAGCCCCTGATGCTCGCTGTTTGCTGTTCAGTCTCTTGCTCCAAAATTATCTTGAGCCACAGGAACTCCTTGATCCCGTGCTTCGAGAATGAATGCTATGCAATGCAAAATGCTAAATACAAAGAAACAAAAGCCAGTTACGGTTAAAACGAAAGGCAAATTTTGGGGTGCTACAAATAGGTAGGGCAATACACGTATGATAGGCCTGACAGTAACGCAATATGCGTAACAAACAGGGCAATACGCGTATGGGCAGGCCTAGGATGACCTTTTCCCATTTTCGCGATTTCTGCCCAGATTTCGCTTGGAATGCAATTTCGTTTAATCGGTAGGATTAATATGACTGAAATGAATCTAAGGAAGATTAGTAATGAATTTAATTAGAGAGACTATGGAAATTACATTTTTTCCCTTAGGGGTGTGATTGATATGTGTGGGCCAGAACCGTTCAGTGTGGACGATCTGGTGTGATGATGGTAATTCCCGAGAGGATTACGATGAGCGGATGGCTCGTGTGGATCATTGAGGATTGTGAATTATGCTTGAAATTATTATTATATTTTCATAATGGTATTTTCATGCATTTCATGTCATGTGTCTTGTGGAGATGACTAGGTGGGAATCCATGACGGGTGCCTAGTTCATCTGGACTTCACGTGGAAGTCGTTGTGGAGATAAGTTATAGTTCAGAGGAACGTATACGACTTATCTGGATTCCGATGGGAATCGAGTTCTATAGTGAACCGTATGTATTTGTGTTGGTACCACATGCATTATGTCGAGTCAGTGAGTCACATTGCATATTTGTAGTTGATGATGGGTTATTAATGCCGAGTAATTGAGATGGCACGTGTATGTGCTTTGTATGTGTATGATTGTATGTATGGTGTATAACTACTCCTTAGCATGTGTATTTCACCACTTATTTATTGAATGTAGTTCTCACCCCTTTTCTATTTGTTGCGTTTGTGCTCCTTGGGGAGTGCAGATGACCAGGTACCTGAGTAATGCTTGGAGTGTGTTGCTATTTGATCGAGTCCTAGGAGTCGCTCTGATACGTAACATGGGATGACGAGATTACATGATATTTTGCTTATTTTATTGGTTAATTGTTACGTATCTTTTATCTGTTGGATTAATGATGTATAACCACCGGTTGTGGGGATTATGTTTAAACATTGATTTTATTCTACTGTTTTATTGAATGACCTTGTTGAAATATTGTGGAAAGCATGAAGTGACTTGATACTTCATTGAATGAGAAAAATGTCTATGTGACATCCTACGTTGAAAACTCTGATGTATTTTCTTTAATATTTCGATATTACGCGTACGAGATAGAGTGGGGTGTTACAGCAATCCTCGTTTTTGAAATTCAGTGAGATACATGTAGTTTTTAACCTTTCCTAAGACTCCTTTATTAATAACATCATCCTTTAATTGCTCGAATTTCGAAAGAAATATTCTTGTTAGCAAATCTGGACGATCTTGTGGTGTTTGAAAAGGCAAAAGTTCTGATGTTATCTCACTCTAAGAAGGATTGCATGTCATTGTCAGAAAAACATCTGGTTTACCGCCATGAAGAACAATAGCCATGCCATCTTCATAACGTTGTGTCATGTCTCGACGACCTCCAATAAACGATGATGGCAATATTGTTCTTTTTCCAATGTTTTCTATGGTGATTCATGAAATGTATTAGTTTCAGAATACATGAAAGATTATCATTATAAGAACAACAACTAATTAGTAATCTAAAAATATATATTTATGCTACATTATTTAGTACTTGCATTAGTTTCACCGACATGCAAAGCATCCTGTAAACCTTGGTACACTTCAGCATGTATATCACGTTGGTACTCTCTAATCCACCTTAACCTGCCTGATTCAATTTTGACATAATTGTCTACAACATATTGTTGCAACATTCGACCTGCATTTAACAACATTGATTGATTATTTTGGAGAATTTACAATTGATTCAAAAACATGTCAAGTATACTATTTACTAAAATTAATCTAAATTTACCTGAAGCATGTAACTGTAATATGCTCGACATGACAATCTTCGTCCATTACAATTTATTGTGTTAACGTCCCAACCATGTGTCCCAAATGGAAACAATATAGGATACTACAACAGATCATAATATCCCTTTGTCTCTTGAACTTTCTTTAGATTTTCATCATGACGAATGACATTAATATCCCTTCCATATTCCATAGAATATGAATCTCCTCCAACAATAATTTTCGCAACTTGTTCTGTAGTTGGAAGATTATATTGATGGAGATTACTTGGACGCTCTTTAAGTATGAAGCTACATTCACCAATATTTGGAAGTTGTGACAGTTGTCTGAACCTAATTACAAAAGGATTAAACTGATGGAGCATTTTTTGTAATTTTTGAACTACATTTTGGTGGAGTTGTGGATTTTCTTGCATTCTTTATGTAGCTCATTATCTGTGTCGTAAATGTATAGCTGCAAGAAACGCGGTCTAGCACCCTCATTTGGATAGAAACCTCATATGTTATGGTAAAAAGCACATTGAGCACGAAGTGTATATATACCACGACCAGATGCAAGAATATTCTCATCAACATGAACACCAATTGAAGTGAATGACAGCACATGGTTGTAACTTCGAATATGTTGCCTAAAATGCCTTCCTTCTACTGAACCATCCAAAAATAATTTTTGCAATTCTATAGGAGCATTAACTCGTGAAAATGATACCTTTCCACCAGTACAACACGTATCACGTGATTCATGATGAAACAATTTTGCATTGTAATATCTACGGGAAATTGGATTAGGCAACTGGGATTTTGCCATCATCGAATTATTTTTGAAAATTTGAGCAATATTGTGTCTTGCTCGAAAAGCGCGTCCTGATTCTACAGGGAGGAGTTTGATATTGATTACTAAATATTATCTAAAATCTAAAATACAAATAAATAATTAACGCAAGATTCTTAAATTAGAAGATTTAACATTGCATAATTTTCAGTTTTATGTCACTTTAGTATAAGCTACACTATTTGTCACAAAAATGTTTATGAACATACCTTGAGGACGACATGATGCACCATCATTTATGGCTTCCATGTTAACATCTGATATTACTGCATCCTCCAAAGCTTCATCAACATCCATATCGTCTGATACAAAAATAATAATTAATATATATATATATATATATATATATATATATATATATATATATATATATATATATATATATATATATATATATATATATATATATATATATATATATATATATATATATATATATATATATATATATATATATATATATATATATATATATATATATATGTGTGTGTGTGTGTGTGTGTGTGTGTGTGTGTGTGTGTGTGTGTGTGTGTGTGTGTGTGTGTGTGTGTGTGTGTGTGTGTGTGTGTGTGTGTGTGTGTGTGTGTGTGTGTGTGTGTGTGTGTGTGTGTGTGTGTGTGTGTGTGTGTGTGTGTGTGTGTGTGTGTGTGTGTGTGTGTGTGTGTGTGTGTGTGTGTGTGTGTGTGTGTGTGTGTGTGTGTGTGTGTGTGTGTGTGTGTGTGTGTGTGTGTGTGTGTGTGTGTGTGTGTGTGTGTGTGTGTTGAAATTACTGCTCACATACGTAGAACAATATCCCGTATACCTGTAGCAGAGTGACTATTATTGATACGTTGGTTAGGTGATGTACAATTATGATCTGCGGGTTTAAATACATAAAATGGGAGATGACAAATAAACAATGTTATACAATGTATGATTATAATGTCTATATTGATCATCACCAACCAAGTGTAACATCATTAACATGTGTAATTCTACTTGGGCTGGCTTCATTGTCATGAGTTCCTTGAAAGTGTGATATTGGAGATCTCATATTTGTAAAATTTTGAAATGGAACTCACCTCCGACTGTTCATAGTGCGAGATGTTTGAGCTTGTTTATCTTGCTCTTTTCGCCGCCTATAATTGTCATGTCGTATCAATAAATATTTTTCTCTTTGCTCGATGTTCATATTTTGTCTCCTCTTCCTTTCATTTTCGGCCCTTCTTGCCCTTTGTTGTTGACTTGATATCTGACGGGTATTATTTTCTATTTTGTTAATGTAACTGCCAAACACATATATAATTTATAAGCAACATAATTTCACTAATTATGTTCAAAAATATTGGCAAATATAGATGAGATTTAAAATAAATATACTTTTTTTGGAAAAAAGAAGTTTACACCAAAAAGTATTATTTGTAAAACATATGTTAAAAATATAAGTCAAAACTAAAATATAAAAAAGACGAAGAAGAAATGGGCAATCAATAAAAAGAAACATAAATTGGACAAATAGATGAAAAGATTGCATATTAACTAAACATTAAAATATAAAATGGGATAAGAAATGAAATTAGTGTAATTTGTGTTATAGATAAAAGATATATTAAAATAAAATGAGAAAAGATAGTATTATATTCCTTGTAGGTTCATAATAATATTTTTATATTACTCCAAATTATTTTATATTTTAGTTAACTCATAATATTATCATTGAAGCTTTTTTCATTGATCAAAAGTAAATTTTTATCTTTTTGTTAATTAGTACAATAATTATGTATACTATGAGTGTTAAAGAATATCATTTATTTAGTTCATTTTAGCACGCACACTTGTGATATAAAATATGCATATAATAGTTATTAGATAAATTTATATACTATGAGTGTGCATTAATATGCTAGTAAAGTATAGAGTAGTAAAATATAGTATATAATTATGATAAAATACGTTATTACTATGAGTGTGCATTAATACCAAATATGTGTGTGCACTAATTTATATTACAGATATGCATATAATACTCTTAACCTTAACTACTATTAAAATGCGATACTAATGCACACTAATATTAGATAAAAAAACACTCTATTAATCCGATTCATTTTAGCATAACTGTAACAATCTAATATTATGAGTGTAGTTTCAATGAAAATCTTTTTAAATTATGTATAAAAGTTCATTTTAGTACAATAATTATAATTTATTAATTACAACCCTTGGATAAAATTTTTACAGTTATTTAGCGTATATGCTAGCTCTCAATTGTTATAGTTTTTTTTAATATGTTACAGTTATTTCTAAATACTCTTAAGTATGTTACAATTATTTAAAAATAACATTCTCTCTTAAAATTGTTACAGTTATTTCTTACTTTAAAATTGTTACAGTTACAGATGAATTTATTTAGTATGTCACAGTTATTTCTAAATACTCTCTTAAATGAATTTTTTCAAAGCTACAGTTATTTAGCGTATATGCTAGCTCTCAATTTCTAAATAATTTTTTTTTCTTAACACTTGGATAAATAATATACAACCAACTTTTTACTCAACTGAAGATAAAAAAAATTTGTTGATGAATAATTCACATAATTTAAAAACCAATGGCTAGCAGTTACAAAAGCATCATAACCGGCAAATACATCAAACATTCTAAAAAAATTAACTGCAATAGGAAATGAGAAAAAATTTGATAACCGAAGCCACTTAAATTATAACTCCTGCATCTCATTTATATAAATATAAATGAACTTTTTTCTAGCAATTTAATGTTTACCTAACAATTATAAGAGATTGGTGTATAAATAACTTATAAGAGGTTATATAGCGTATTTGGGTTTACATAACTTAAGGCGTGATAACTAAACTAATTACAAAACAAAAGAAAGACCTCTATTTCTCTTAATCCGTAAACACACTCTCTTAATTTTCATATTAACTTTTCTTCATCATTTCTATTGGATTTCCTTTTTTTTTAATGTTTATGTTGGAATATTCACCCTTCCAATTCACAATAATCTAACAAAATAAATAAATAAAGATCAACCTAAACATGTTTAATAAATTCATTCAATTATATTTAAAAAAAAACACCTGACAAAAAATGAATTCTCTTGATAATGGAGTAATGTACCACTCCTTTCACTGCAATAATTGAGTTACTTAAGCCTTCACAAAGTAAGAGAGAAAGAGAAATAATTAATTTGAAAGTAACTTGACAAAGTGAATGTGAAATATTTGTGAGTGGCTCGGAGAGATTGGTTTTACAAGCGAGAGTAGGTAGTATGAACGTAAATAAGATATGGAGTGATAAAAATATTAATTAATATTGAAGTGAAATGAAAAAATAACTAATTTTCAATTTTCAGAACCAAAAACTCTAATATTTTGAATCTGCATTTTGTAAGATGAAATATAAATCAATTGTGATTTAAAAGCATATTGAAAAAGATGAAGAGTGATTGAAAAAAAAAAGTTTAGAAAAGACGCAGATTGATTGAAAAATTAAGAGTATGAAAGTAGTTCTTTAATAATTAATTTAATACTTGTAATTTATACATGAGAGAGAAAACAGTTTTTTTTGTTTAAATTAAATATCTAACGTGGGAGATGAGTTATGCTATGAAATATTTTGTAATTTTTTGGATGGTTACATATAGATAATTTAAGAATAAAATGAGTTTTATAATGGTAAGTTTGTAAAGAAAATAAGCCATACCAAAAGCACCTATCGTCTTTATATATAGGTATAAATTTTCTAAAGTAAACATACAATTAAAAATAGAAAATGTGTAGATCAATGTCATAGTGAAATCTTTGAAAAAAAATCAATTGAAAACACAATAATGATAGAGAGTAGTAAAGAAGAAGATAGTAATATTTTTTTCCAGAGTTTAAATATATAATAGTTATACATAAAAAAATATAATATAAAAATATAATTGATATGTATTGAATTTATATATAATTATAAATAGAAAAATATATAATATAAGAATTTAATTGATATACATTAACTATATAAATGTATTTTACATGTAATAGTTATAGATAAAAAATATATAATACTCCCTCTTATTTACATAAAAATTAAGCTTATATATTAAGTTTATATATATAATATAGAAAATATATATAGTTTAATTAATATATATATATATATATATATATATATATATATATATATATATATATATATATATATATATATATATATATATATATATATATATATATATATATATATATATATATATATATATATATATATATATATATATATATATATATATATATATATATATATATATATATATATAATATAAAAATTTAATAAATATACATTGACTGTATAAATATATTTTACATATAATAGTTATAGATAAAAAAATATACTCTCGCTTATTTATAAAAAAAATTCACTTTTTAGATTTATTAAATAATCAATGTATCTCATTAATTATGTATTTAGTGAATCTAAAAATAAATTTTAATATAATATAAGAATTAATAATAAATAAAAAGATATATAATATATGAATTTATCTGATGATATATATTGACATATAAATATATTTTACAATTAATCACAAATACTTATTTATTTAAATTATTTTATTGTATTTTATTTTTAAAATAATACATTTAGATATTTAAGGTGTATTAATGGTATAATTTTATTTACACTGTATAACAATTAAACTCATAATATAATTCTTACTTTATAAAACTAATATTTATATTAATCGACTATGAAAGAATCACCACATCAACAATATATAACTTTAACAGAAAATAAAACATACATTATTAGTAAAAACTGATATTTTTTTGAAAATAATTTGTAAAATAGAATAGGTTAATAATATCTTATTGAGTTAATATTGCTAAAAAGCCAACTGGTGTGGCGAGTTACATAAAACTGTCACATCTTCTAAAACTTTAAAAACAAAAACAAACAATTAGAATTTATTCTAAAGAATGAATATTGAAAAAATTAAAAACTTCAGTTTTTCTTCTTTTCATTTTTTAGATTAAATTTAAGAATTGTCCTTTTCAACTAACTCTATTTTTGCTCCAATGTTCCAACATATCCAACCGACATCTTTACAAATCTAGGTGTAATTCCAGCACTTTTCTATTCCTCTTCCTTCATCTCACTACTTGTGCTACTCCTAGAGCATGAAATTAAGATTTCATAGTCTCTAAACTAACTACCATAAAACCAAATTGAGAATAATTTTGCAAGTAGTTTATCAGCTAATTAGTCTTTGCAGTTGATCCCACATTACTGCAAAGAATCCCACCAAATCCATATTCTGTATTGCCTATGAATTTCAAAAGTTTGTGTTGTGGGTGGTCTTTTAGGCCTGGACAATAGACTTTGAATCCAAGTTTCTTGAGCCTGGTTACATATTCCAATGCGCGGCGGCTATATTCTTTTATCAGAATGCCCAAACGCGAGATTCTTTCTAACATTTCAAATGCTACATTTGCATTCATTATTGGACCTAACAACATTATTCCACCTTATTGAAAGTCCATCAAAGAATTCACAAAACTTTTAGACCCACACACAACTCCGGTCAACTTTCAAGATTAAAATTATTTATTACAGATAACACTACTAGAAAACTTCATTTTAGCTGCGAATTTAGCCTCGGCCACCGACACCGAGGCTAACTAGCCTTGACAAAATCGAGGCTATTCAAACGCAAAAAAAGTCATTTTAAAGTTTTTCTTTTACAATTATTTTTATTTAATTCATTAGACACGGCTAGGCCGAGGCTAGATTTTTTTTAAATTTTTGAATTATTTTTTTACATATTAGACACGGTCTAGCCGAGGCTAATTATTTTAAGCTGCGAACTTAGCCTCGGCCACCGACACCGAGGCTAACTAGTCTTGACGATACCGAGGCTACTTAAACGCAAAAAAACCCATTTTAAAGTTTTTATATTTTTTTTTAAATATTAGACACAGATGAGCCGAGGCTAACGTTTTTAATTTTTTTCGAATATATTTATTTTATTTGATAGACACGGATCAGTCGAGGCTAACATTTTTTATTTTTTTTCGAATATATTTATTTTATCTGATAGACACGGATGAGCCGAGGCTAACTATTTCCCACCTTGTTTTTCATGTTTCCCTCTTAATTCCTTTCAGAGAACCCTAAAATTAAACCAAATACATTTTCAGAAGAAAAAAACCCCTAAAATCAAACAAAGTCGATTTTGTATGGTCCTTGAGAGATCATCTCTTCGTTTTCATCTTCAAGATCATCGATTCTTCTGAGTGGGTTTATTGGTCTCTGATTCTTCTTCTGCTTTTTTTCAACCTCAAACTATCTCTGATTCTTCTTCTGCTTTTTTTTCAATGTAGTGAGTTTCAGTCTTGGCCTTTACCTGTTGAAGGAAGTTTAGAAGATAGAGCTGCAAGTGCTTCCAAGAGTCATAATCAAGCAGAGAAAAGACGCAGAGATAGAATCAATTTGTTTGTGTTATTTTCCATTTTAAGGTTAGATTTTGTTATATTTTTCATGCAAGAAAATGGAATTAGCCACTTAGGGAAAAGCTATGTGATTATGATGTTTTGCATTCAAATCATGAATTTCTAATTCCAACCCTAACTGAGATTTAACACAATCCTCGCTCTCAACTGAATTGAACTTTTTGATTCATCCCCTGCTTTTGTCTGTGTTGCTGTTAGGTTTAATGATTCACACTCTAATTTTTATTCAGTTGTTTGTTTGATTAATATAGAAAAATTAATCCCTTATTAGAAGTATAATTTTGAGGTTGAATATTTTGAAGTCTAAAAGGGTATTGAATTATAGGAGCATTGTGATTACACCTTGTGATTACTCCTCAGAGTGTGAGCGGCATGGTTCTTGATGCGCCAGAGGCATGGTCCTCAGAGTGCGACCTAAAATATACTTCTAATTTGTTTTGTTGTGTATATTTTTATAATATTCTCATGAATTAGGGGCATGGTTTTGGAGTAATGTAGGTAGGTGATCTTGGCTCTGGTGTATATGTGCTTTTGCTGTCAAATCTACACCAGAGGGTGATTTTTATAATATGTGTGTTGCAAGAATTTGATATTCAATTCTATAGTTTTCACATGGACAAAGGAGAATTAGAGTGATGGGAGAGATTAGTTACAGTCTTAGAACACTTATGATATACTTCTCTCATCACTATTTAAGATTTTATATGCACTGGTTGCAAGAATTGCTCTATTGACAAGCACAAACCAGTTTTTTTTTTTAACCTGTATGCTGCTGTGGTAGAGTTAGGACTAATAGGATAGCAATATACCCTACAAAGTCAGACTGAACGTTGCAGAAAAGGCTTGATTCAATTTTGCTTGTGTTTCTTGCCACCGGCCAGAATGCGCTGGATTTGAAGTCCTCGGCTGAATGCTTGGTTGAACAGAAGCCTAGTTTGGAATTCTGAAACAAATGGGAACCATGTTAGTATGGCCACTGGTGTAAATATAACCACTGCCATTAGGTATTTGTAGCCCCTAGCTAAAGCTTTAACAGACCCCCACATTCCAGTGCCTTTCACCAATGGCCTGCATGCTTGTGCTATCTGCATAGTAAAACACCATTATTTTACATTCGTATTTGCATTACGGGAATGAATAAAGAGACTTAAGTACCTGTATTACTGGTTGGAATTTGATTCTAAATAAGGTTGCCACGCGGGATCAATTGTTTACGAGAGGCCTTTGTCAATCTGAGTTAGAAAGAAAGTGTGTGTTATGCAACCAGTTTGTTGAGGATTTGAAACATTTATTGTTTTCTTGTCAACTGTCTTCGAAGGTTTAGAGTGGTGTGGGTGAATGGTTGGGCTGTTCTGGGTCGTTTTCACAAAGTATCCCACAACACTTTTTAGATTGGCAAGGATATAGGATTGTTGGTGGGAAAAACTCTAGGAGAAGCTCATCGTGGATGGCAGTGGTGTGGAGTTTATGGAAGGTTAGAAATGGAATTATTTTCAATAACGGTGTTTGTAACCTGAATGTTATAATGTGGAATATTAAGTTGATAGCTTGGAAATGGGCCTACATAGAAACAAGTGATTTTACATTCGTATTTGCATTACAGGAATGAATAAAGAGACTTAAGTACCTGTATAATTGCCCATGTTGTTGGCAAAAAGGCCAAAAGGATGGCAAAGATGTCTCCGACAGTGAGGCTAAGCAGATTAAACATCAGGGCCAGGCAAACAACAACTCCAATAAACAGAAACACTTTGAGAAGACGAAACATCAACTGGAAATCTGCGCTGAACCTCTTTCTACCCAAGGACACAATCTGCAATTTCAGACGCCACCAGTTAATAGATTCACAATCAAGCATATGCAGGAAAAAAAGCTTTTATTCAGAATGAACATTTTGTTCCTCGTATATGTACCTTCAAGATAACCATGACAGCTACTATTACTATCTAGTATAGGGCATAAACCTGAAGAGAAAATGTATGTCAGGAAACTATGGGGGAGGGAGGATTTGACTATGACAACACTAAATAAAATGAAGTTAGCATGCTTAATTACCATGATACCCTTGTCACCTCTGGCTACATTGAGATGATACACAACCCCATACTGATAGATAAAGAAACGCATGGAAAGAATAATCTCACAAATCCGCTCTATAATGCCAATGTGCTGCATATGCTCCTGTTCCTCATCCCACCATGACTCCCAACTCTTGTTTGAAGGAACACTAATACCACCTCGATTACTAATCCATTTAGTCCAATCATCTCAGTCCTCAACTATCTTCTACCACTCAAATTCTGATGGATTGAAAAGGAAAGGAGCAAACAACCAAGAGCAAACCAAAAACCACATTGACCATGACAGAAGAGCATATGTTGCAGAGTCAGGTGTTGTGGATCCATAAATCATATAACATATCAGCAATATTGTAAGCTCAATCCCTTTGACAAAGTGACTCCTAGAGTACATCCTGTAATTGTCTGCAAACTTTTCATGACGAACGACAAATCCATGCCCAGTTGCTGTCAAATATTTTCTACATTACTTTTAAGATATTAATATGGTTAATTTAATAAAAGTGTAATATTTTATAATGTCCCTCCATTATCAGCATGTGAAAATTGTCGAGAGTGATTGTATGATGATGCATGGTTTCTTCGACGATGCCTTGAACCAGGTGGAACTCATCCGTCTTGGCATAGAAATTTCAAGGGAGAAAATTCATGTTGAGTATTATTTTATAAATGGAAAGCTTGTTCCCATTAATGGCGCTCTAACTCCTTAACCTTCTTTTCTTTGTTTTAAATTGTATGATGAAACCATATTGGTTTGCTTTATGGAAAATATTTATATTTGTCTTTGTCCCTCATACTACTTGTCCTTCATGTTGGTTTTAAATTCATGATGAAACCATGGCGCTCTAACTCCTTATGATCCTTTCATCCTTGCGCAAAATGCAAGACAAGTGTATTATGTCCCATATCCAGAAATGTGTAGAGATATGCATGGATGGTGTGCGGAAATCACTGTTGCACCCTAAAATTTGCCTAACCTTTTTCTTACTTGGTTTATGTTTCATTGCATTAGCATATCATTGGTCTAACATTTGCATAGCATAGCATTATTCATTATGCAGGGGATCAAGTGTGATATATATCAAGATGAGCCTATCTAGAGGTTTTATTCAAGCTTGAGAAGGTCACCAAAGTCATCAGGAAATGGTTTGTGTTCTTGAGAAGTTTGGATGCTTGTATGCGGTTCATCTCCTAACTTGGGGGCCAATTGAAGACCATTAGTGGGTTGTGAAGCCTTGATCATGGATAGGTTATATGGATAGAGCTCATGGAGTGCCTTGAGGTTCATGGTGGAGCTCAGGCAAGTCATTATGCTAAGTGTGAAGAGCCACAGTTGAGGGTGTTGCAATTAGGGTTTTTATCTGGTCAACCTTGAGCCAATTGTGCAATTGAAGGAGATTAAGACTCAATTTTAAGGCTTTGTGATCATGGGAGGTTGTGTTGAGATACATGGGAGGTTGAAGGAGATTAAGACTCAATTCTAAGGCTTTGTGATCATGAGAATGTATGGAGAAAATTTCATGAAAAGAAGTTGGAAAAGGCCTAGTTTGGATTTAATGCCAATTAAATCAAATTATGTCATGTTGGTGCATTTTTTGAGTGCAATTGATGTTTTAAGAACAATGGAAAAAAATCAGGAATCCAATTTGAAGTCATTTGGTGTGCCAAATCCAAGGTTTCTTGAACTTTAAGCAACATAATGGAAATCCACCATCCATTCATTTCCAAGGCATTAATCTCAGTCCTACATGATCCTTGCATCATAAGGATCTGATGTGAACAGAATTGGAAGCTTCCACACACCATGTTCATGGAGATTACAAAGGAAAAAGTGAGAAAAATCAAAATTTTGGATTGAGTGAATTGGGCTTCCATTGGGCCAAATAATGATCCATAACACTTCTATATAACACCATGGATGAATTCATAGCAAGGTTGGTGATGGAAAAGCTAAAATGAGGTAAGAAGCACTTAAAAAAAAGTTGGTTAGAGGTGAAAATTGATTTTCTACTTTGAGGCAATTTCAGAGGGAATTAATCATTCAAGAAGCTTCTCCAAGCATCATTAAAGGATTTTGAACAACTTTGATCAAGAATTCGTGCAAGAACAATCCACCATTGAAGCTCCGAACAAGGTTCTTAATTCTCATCCATATGCTCTGTTCTTGATGAGTTATTGCACCATTTTTACATAATTATGATCCTTGGAGTATGTAGAAGCTTTTAGGATTAGTTTGGTTAGGTTCCATGAAAATTCAAGAATTGACACCCTAGGTTGTAGTTTGATTTTCTCTCTTGTTAGTGGATGAAAATGGAAAAGAATTTGATATTCATGATGTAGGAAGTGAGAGGAAGAGATTAGTATCATCAATTTGGAGTTTTGAGAAAATTGATTTTCTTGAGTGATTCTTGGATGATATGTAACTCTGAGTTTTAATGGAGGAAAGTAGAAATAAATTACATATTTGGAATCTACACGAAAAATCCTGCAGTTTTGGTTAAAGAAAATCGAATTTTGGTTAATAAATGAGAAAGTTCCATTGTTGGCTAGAGGTTGAAGATGACCGGAAAATATTTCAGCAATCAGCACCACCGCGCGAGCCACCGCAGGAGGGGTTCCCTCCGTTTTTCCGTTCAAAAGCTCAGACACAGCAGCGACCGTTGGATCGCGTATTTGCGTTGACTTCATCATCTTAATGCACGACCAGGATTGCTTCGCGTTTGGCCATTCCCTACAGCTCAAAACGCTGCGTTTTGTATTCTCGCAGCTGGGCTTAAGTGAATTTCGCTGCTACCAACACCCCCTCACGCGAGGCCCACACGAAACAGCACATAGAATACTACTAGACGCACCCCCTGGCCTGTTCCCATGTGCAAAATGCTGATTTTTTTATTCTCTCAGCTGGGCCAGCGTCCCGTTACTGTTCGCACCCCTGTCTCGCGAGGCCCATTAGCAAGTACACATGGAAACAATACTTATTACACCTCCTAGTCTCCATTTAAATTTCTTTTTTCTCTTTAGTTTTTAATTGATACTTGTTTGGATTTAATTCAGAAAAAATAGTAATTGTTGTCAATAAATCTTGAAATAAATCTTGTAGATACTTTAACATGTCTAGAATATTTCCATATTTTTTAATTTCAGTTTTAGTCTATTTTCCAATTAATTTCATATTTTCCATTTTAATGTGTTTTTAATAATTAGATGATTACATGTTGTGCTTTATGATTTTGTTTCTCTTTCAATAATTCATATTAGCCTCTGATTTTTTGTATGGTGAATGTTGACACATGAGATAATATTTTACTATTTTTATTGCATTTTTTAGATTGCATTTGAATAGGTTTTGAGATAGATTTTTATAGCCAGCCCCATGTGAATCCCCCATATCATATCTCTTGGTTTAGCCTCTGGTTAGTATACTTAGACTAATATTTTGGACTTGAAACCTTAACCATAGACTCCTAATACATTTAGGATCATCTAGGAATTTTATCAAGATTTTAGGACCTGATTTCCTTATTTTCCCATATTTTACTTTCTGACCAAAGTTTGTGTATTCATGATTGCACCTTCTCCTAGTTTGGCCTAATAATTGAACTTTTAGCCAACTTAAAGCACTCAATCTTCCCATTAACCCTTAGTACCTAGGTTGACACCATTTTAGGTTTATTTTCAAGCCATTAGGATACCTTTAAGTTCCCTTAGGATGACTTCTGTTAGAGTTAAAACATTTAAGGTTTCTTTAGAGCTTTTGGTGATGCCTCTGCCCTCTATGTGATTTCTTCCTTGGGATTTGCCCAACCCTATTTCTCCAAGTCTTGAAGGGGAGCCCTCCTGGGAGAGCCTAATCCTTCCTTTGGTTGGATTCTGTGCATTCCTCAGGAGGTTGAGCCCTAAATTGACATTCCCTAGTATAGTACATTCCTTTGGTTTGTACTATCCTTCTCTTTCAAGTCTTGATGAGGAGCCCTCCTGGGAGAGCCTAATCCTTCCTTTGGTTGGATTTTGTGCATTCCTCAGGAGGTTGAGCCTTAGATTGGCATTCTTGGCATGGTATATTCCCTTGGTTTATATACTGTCATCCATCTCAAAGTACTTTTCTTAGGATCCCTCTTGGGAGAGCCTAATCCTTCCCTTGGTTGGATTTTGTGCATTCCTCAACAGGTTAAGCCTGAGATGGACATCCAGTGTTGATACACTATACCAATTACCTTAGATGGATATCTAAGACTAATACCCAGTCTTTTCTGTCCTATTGACATAGGATCCCTCTTGGGAGAGCCTAATCCTTCCCTTGGTTGGATTCTGTGCATTCCTCAAGAGGTTGAGCCCATGATGGACTCTGGTATTGATATACCTCCAACCTGATGTAGCATAGGATGACTTTCCTGTGGCTCATTTTGGTTTCTCTCCCCCTTGTTTGGTTGATTGATGCATTAGAATAGATTCATGTGTAGCATATTTAGGCTAGGAGCATGACTGCTTAGAGGTTGAGTGAGTCTCCCTCTGCTTGTTTGCCTTAAGGGTTGAGGTGGTCCTCCCCTTGCTTGTGTGTTGTTTTTCTTTTTCTAATTGACGTATTTGCATATAGAGGTTGAGTTTGTCTTCCTCTGCTTGCCTATTTTGACTGTTTTCTTTTTGCTTGATTGCTAAGAAGTTGAGTTTGTTTCCTCCTGCTTGTATTGTTGCATTGCATGCATTTTACTTATAGTATTTTCTTTTCAGTTATTGCTTTTGCTGTTGCTTGCCACTGCCATGTTCCCTTAGGAACTCTGACCTCTCTTGTTCAAGAGAAGTTACGACAGACATTTGGGTTCTAACCATGCATGATAACACTAGGTAGCTTC